CTTCTAAGGAGGTGAACCTAGGTAGCCCACGTTACCGCGGAGGCGAACCGTTAGTGCGAGTGTTGTGAGAAACCAAGAACCGTAAGTTGGAGACAGGGAAACACTAAACAGCATGTTTGGTGCCCATCGTGTCCAAATTCCCAGTCGGGGATGCAGCGCCGTAAAAGTGTCCACTTCTCACAGCACGAGAGAGAAATGCCACTCAGAACTGCACTGTGCGAGGTGCAAAAATGGCGGCCGGCATTCAACTCCTCGGGGAATTCTGGGTGCAATGGGACCCGTAATAGTCGGTAGGCATATCAATCGTCAGTTGGACTGAACTGTGCGATTTTACATGTAATGGAACAGTATAAACCGGTGTGTTGTGTTCGACTTTATGACAAATCACATTGGAGGCACACTTGTGGTGAGCTTGAAAACTCATTGGCCAGTCACCGGCCCTCCCTCTGTATGGGGTCTGACAGCACAGAGCTGGCATCCACAGACGTCCGCGGGCTTGTGCTGGATATGAATTGATCAACCACAATTGCAGACCACGTACCCAATACGTACTTGAGTGCAAATCTGCTTCCTCTGATGCACACTCCATTATAAACGAAAGCTTACATATTTGTTTCCCATCCAACTGCACCGACTCTTTTTAATTAAATTAAGAGATGCTTCTCAAATGGCTGTCTCAACATAATAGTGCGGTGATGTACCATCGGAATGATCATTTACCTGGGCATGGAAGGCGTAAGTACGACAAATTGACACCGACTTGCATTGATGTTGGAAATGCAAGCACTTCATGCAGTGGAGGTCGTGTCTGGGGGAAAAGAGTCGATATCGATATCGACATCGATTCTGTCTATCATTACCCCTAAAAGCCAATTTTTATCATCTAATTATCAAGAAAACCAATGCTTCGTTGCACCCGATGAAATGTTATAGAAGAACTGGTCATCTATGCTTCGATTCATTATGCCTACAATGGTTTGGCATGCCACTTACAGCGGCGCAACAACGACACGATACGTTCACACTTAGTTACTTTATGTAATAATCTTTCATGATCAGAGCTGAATACATGAGCTATTCATTTTCGCGTGTTGCAAATCCATAGGTCACATCTGAATTGAATCTTCTAGAAGCTGGTATAAATCTTGGTGTGTAGTTAATTGCCAGTGCCGTCGGCAGTCTGTCGACTGGCCGCCATCGAGAGGCGGCGCGGCCGGCCGGTCTCATGGCTGCAGAGCTGGTCCCGGGCGCGGCTGGCGCAGCTCGGCACGAGTCGGCGGCCCGAGCTCAGCGGACGCGGAGCTCGGTATAGAGCTGGCTGCTGCAGCTCAGCATCGGTGAGCAGCTCAACCGACTCCAAATGACCACGGCCGACCCAGCGCGGTATTATATACCTTTGACCGACCCTACATACCAGCATAAACAGTTGATACCACTAGTGAGACTTGGCTGAGTGTTGACCCCCGGCTGGCTGCTCATAATTGACCAGGACAGTAAATTCCAGGTACTGTTCACGATTAGCATTCAGTTTGACCATAGCTATAGACGCTATGCATTCGAAATTCGAATGTGATCACTGACCGCAATCTTCACAATGATAAACCTTTGACATTTTCCCCATGATGGCTTCTTCTATTTAACTGGCTACATTGGAACTGAATTGTTTAGTCACATAACAAGCCATTCCAAGGATGCCACTCACATTTCTTGACTCTAATAAGGGCAGATATCACCGTGATGGAAAATGGAGACAGAACGTTGCTCTTAGTGTAGTGGTTGTCCTGTACGACTGTTTTTGTGTCATCGCGTATGATTGTGTACCTACTCAAGTTGTGCCTCTGCGCATTGTTGACGTGTGGTGGTTTATGAGTAGAGCAGACCATTTTCAGCGGGTCTGGTAGTTCTGACGTCAGCTGGCTTAGTGTCTTCACTTATGTCTCGCTCCATTAGTGATTGCCCGCCAGTACTCACCTTCACCCGTACCCTGCATGGTGGGTCGCAGCCAGCTTCGCCGTTGGGGAAGGGGGTATCCGGCCACACCCTCGATTATCTAAAAAAAACTACGAAAGCTAGAAAGATGCGGGAAGAACAATCGATAGCTAGTCTGCTTTCCAAAGGTTCTTTCAAACGTAAACAGGCGAATGACGCTCAAACGTTTGCTCAGGCGCAGATTAGGTCAATAGAGGTCATATTGCTAAATTTTTCCGCATGTTTCCGATTTTGTCAGTTTTTCGCAAAACGGCGCAGGATTGGTAAACCAAAAGAGCTAAGACGCGCGGCGTTGCGGAGGGGGCATCGCCTTCGCTAATTCTTCCAAAGCTACGCGTGCAGTGATCAAGATATATGATACCAAAAGCTCTGTAATTTTGTGTAATGTTTTTCAATTGTCAGTGCAGTAAGACAACTAAGACCAGTCTTCATAAGAAAACAACTATTCGAAAACAAAAAGCGGCTTTCACCTGTCTGGATGAGTCACTTTTTGTGCCACTGCGCCCCTGTTATATCAGATATGTGGTCGGAGCCAAGTTGCAGTGTTTGGCCAGAAGTCAGAGCGATTATCTCAGTGGCACACCGATTGTGTACGGATGGACTGGCGGTAAGGCAAACGTATATACTTTACAACATTTATCATTTGTTTAGTTTGTGTACTTTTTGTTTGGTTGTGTCGCTTGTTTCAATGAAACTGTTTGAAACGGTCAAATGAGACCATTTCAGGCTATTGGATGAGAGAATGATAGAAGGACATTGGAAAATGGCATTGTTTTGAGCTACACTGATCAGACTTCGGATGGTGACACGAAGCCGCCGAAGCCATCCCGTTGTACCTATAGTACCGTAGCCCAGTGAGACGGACCACCCAGCTCCAGGGAATGATCACTGGCTCTGGAGGAACGTGCTCGCATTGGAACTAACTTCCACGGCTGCCTGCGGTGGGGTCCCGAGCAGGAAGTATTTAGTTTGGAATGTCCTCCACTGCTGATCTGGCCTGCTGTTTGATGGAGTCGGGCGGCCGGAGCGGCCGTTACCCAGGTCACCGTCGGACCGACTCGATGCGCCGTCGGAGCTGGAACGGGGCTCGCAAGTCTGCACCGATCGCCCATCCGTCTCTGGGCCGAGTTATTACCGGTCCCGACCGGCGCCGCAGCGATGGATGTGCGCGCGTTAGTGAGGAAATAAGCGCCAAAGGAGCGGCCAGCTCAGCTCACGTCCGAAAACAGTTAATTCAACATACGAGCTGCTAAATGGCAAACATGCTAGTATCTACGTAGTTTACGAATATAGTCGCTAAACGGGCATCTACTAGAGATTAGTGGTGTCAATTTCAGAAAACGTATGTCCAAAGTCCGTCCAATGTCCAATGCTTACGTCGATTGTCCGTCCAAAAATGTCCAAGCTAGCCATTTGTCCAAAGATGTCCGACACCTACGCAATAATTTACACTCAACACAGTTATTTCATTTGCTTTTCATGTACCGCTACAAGCTCAAAAGTGTTAATCATATCGAAAGCTGAGCTTTCTGATAGCCAATCAATGTTAAACATGACTACTTTTTAAAAATGTTGAGGTGTAGCAAGCGATTGTCCAAAGTTGTCCAAAGCCTGCGGCCATTGTCCAACCGAATTCCGAATTGGACATTGGACAAAATCGGAATTCCGAAGATTCAAGTTCCGATTGACACCACTACTAGAGATACGTCATTTCTGATCTTTACGCTCTATAACCTTGGTATGAATGAGTCATCATGGTTTTAGTCTTTAAAATTGCACTGTCGTCTAGTGAAAAATGGATATCAAGAAGTAAGACGTTCATCTGAGCTTTATTTTCAAGTAAAGCGTTTACAGGCAACAGTGTCATCCGTATAAAAGAACGTAATTTGCACAATTATATGCATTATGCAGTTGTTATACGCAATATTTTACACGCAGCCTTTATAAAAAAAGAAAAATCAAGTATCGAAATAATATATGCTAAGGTTCCCTCGGGAGCAAATGAAAACATAATTTCAACATAGCTCTTAACAACACAAAACATCAGGTATGTATCCGGAGATGTGCCATCAGAAGTAGCCAGCAAACTGCGCCGCGGGAGAGGCCAGTTCTGTCGGTGTTTGCTCGGAGATGGTCTGGTAAAAACGCCCTGGACCGCAGTGCCGTCCGTGCGTGGGAAGGCGCTGCCGTGGGTCGCACCGCACGCCCTGGGAACTGACGCCCGGCTCAAGGCTCGCGTGAAAGTGCACGGCAGGCTGCTAAACCAATCACCGGAGAAACATAAAGAAATGCGTGGTAAATTAGTGATGCACGTCGGTATCCAACATAGCACGCTGTTTGGAGAGCGGAGACTGACCTCGAGCTGCACGTTTGGACGCTTGATGAATGTCTTACGTAGACACTTTGCGTTTGAGATATATTGCAGCGGTTAGCTACTGTAACAATTTTATGAGCTAAATTGATGCTTTTCCAGAAACAACTGTTTCGTGCGACTGTAGGTATTGCACCGTGCGAAGAAAAAAGGTTCCTTGTAGCCTTGGACTCGAATAATTTTTGCTGCGTTCTTCCGTCGTTATCGGACTTGACGGAGACCACCAATGCCGCAAATTTCGATAGCTTGCAGGTAAAATTAGATCGATTTTAGGAATGTAAATCTCAGTTACCTCTTTAGCTACCACACCCGAGGCCGAATTTGTTTCGCACTGGAACCACATCCTCAAGCTGCACCATAATAAGTCACCACTCTGGGTACAGGAGAGTTTCACCACCACCCATCACATCATGGGAGCCTGTGACCGCGAGCTGTGCCGGTGAATGTGGAGGATGTCAACCGTGGGAGCGCGCCGGGGTTGCAGACGGTCCACCGGACCCCACTGCACCCGGTCGACCTTCCACTGGGCCGGGTCTGCAGCCCCTCCCCGGCCCAGGGGTGACCGTATTGCCCTGGTGCGTCCTCCCGGTCAGGACGGTCAGTTGGTCAGCGGGCTCCCCGGCGCACGCATCGGCCGGAGATGGCTCCTCTAAGAGCACGTGAGTAGAAGTGCATCATCATAAGAAAGGTTCTCGTTCCTTAGTAAGCTTCTCGCCGTCTCAATGGCCACTGACCCCGCGTGGAGAGTGACTCACCCAAAGCGGCGCACTCGGGCTGCTAGGAGACCACTGAGTTTGTACGGCCATGTCGGTGTGGCCACGGAAGCATGGCTCGGCTCCCGTCCCTCTGATCAGAGACCAGGTGTTCCGAAGCCGCTGAGGTGGTCTGGCTAGACCGAGCCGCTCCCGTAAGCGGGACCACCGTGCCAGGTAGCACTCCGGCGGGTCCGCTCAGGATCGGGCGCGATTAGTTCTCTGAAAGGATTGAATGGGCTCACGGCCTGCATGATGGATCCGGCTCGATGAACTTGTGCCGAGTATTGTGCAAGGCTAATGATAGACCAGCTCCGTTTTAACGTCCGACGGAGTGGCACGAGCTCAGCATCGCCGCAGAGCTCTTTTGGGAAACACGAGACAAGATAACAGCATCAGATAACCTTTGTGGTCTGAAATAATAAGTTGTAGTTAAATTTCAGCGTAAATCGCCATTGCAGTTGATTAAATCCGACTTAATCAATCTGATAATATAAAGAGCCAATTGCAAACCGCTGCACGCGAGGAATCTTGTTGGTAGGCTACATGCTCGTTGGCAGATGACAGGCTAATCTACGGATTATTCTTGGCCCATTTTTCTACTTCTTGGTAAATATCATAAGTGTAACTTAGCTGACCCATAAATATTTTAAATATTGATATCATAAATTATATGATCGTGTATTGTTAGGATCTCTATTATGCCTGAGCATACGCTTCATATCGAATTATTGAAGTATTTACTTGGGCAGTGTTTACATAAACAGATTGTACAGCTCAATCCAAGGCTATAGAACTCCATCAAGTGAACCGATGCATAATTATTAATTGACCTTCCAGACATAGATGACAGCAGATGATTTGACGAGAGAATAGCATGGTTGGAACGAGTAAGCAGCCTTTTTTGTAGGTCGACATGGATTGTTGCATATACTGTTACACATACATAATTGTCACAGTCGCACCCAGCCCCCACCAAATCTTCATCTGGCATCGGCATTTTGCTACTGATGACGCCATTCCTAGCAACCGAGCGTCCCTAGCAACCGAAAGTGAAGACGTTGCACCTTCAATAAACGATCGTCAGCTAACTTCGTCAACAACAAAGAAATGAAATCTATTTATGTTATGTTGTAAAAATAACTTGTGATAATAATTAAATCCTGATTAAATCCATACTTAGTAAAGCTTACGATACATCAAATTCGTAACGTGTGCAAAAATGTCTGACCCCAGGTCACTTATGGTCAGGTTACCAGGCAAAGTGAAGTGACCATGTATCTAAGAACTTTGTGATTCAGTCATTCCTACATTATACATTCCAGCAGCTTGAAACTCAGGATAGGTATTGCATGGGGGAATCAGTACCAACAATTTGTTTCTCTCAGAATTTGGATATCAGTGACCTAAGGTCAGGTCAATTTTGTGACCTCTCCATTACCTATACGTAAATCAAAGGGAACAAGTTGAAATGTTTTTCTTTTGGCTTAAAACACCCTCAAACGTCAAGAAACACAGGTGAGCATGACACACTGAACCGAAAAATGCTTCTATGACCCGTTTATGCCCCTGAGGTCATTTCAGGTCATGAAACGTCTCCAACATTTTTTGACAATACATAACTTTAGATAGAAATATGCTAGAGAGCTGAAATGACCATTAGTGTGTTCAGCTCAGCAATACAAATCGAATGACATCCAACATGACCTTTTCTGTGACCTTAACCCGAGGTCAAATTCTTAACCCACGCGCTTATAGGGGGGAGGGTCGACCGGACCCCCCTGCCCTCCGTTTTTCGCGAATACCTAACTCGCGTAAAAAAGTCGCCGATCGCGACAAAACCTTCAGTACCCTCGAGGAAATTAATTATAAATCTACCCTAAAAATCATGACCCTGACCAAATTGACCTTTGACCTGTAAGTTGTAACCTATTCCTCGAGATCATGTTTGGCCGGAATCGCGATTCTGCGTATGTCAGCATAGTATCCGCGCGATTGCAGTGTTTTTGTGGTTTTAAACATTTAAACATGTGAAATGATATTGGTCCCATGCATTATTTTGGGTGTCAAAGTCGCCTGAAGGTCAGGTCAGGTTATTGACCTTTGATGACCTCGGTTCACTTTTTCGAGTTTTACATGTTTCTAGGCTAGTTTTTGGAGCTGATTTCGAATTTAGCAGTTCTTTCAACAGCTTCGAAGTAGTTTTGGTGCCTTCGTAACATGTTACGAAGCTGTCAGTGGCGGTTGACACCTACAATGAATCCCCGGCTGGACCCCACCCCTGCTGGGTGACCTTCACCTGACCTGACCTGACCTGGCCTAAATGCATGAAGACATCATCTGTGATCAAAACTAACATGATATTCGTGATCAGCACCGCGAAAAACCTCGTAGCAACCACACTTTACGACGTTCTAACAGGTCCCGATTTTCCCGACTTTTGGGTCATTGACCTGACCTGGAAGGTCAACCAATGAGCTAGACCTTAAATTGGGTATCATCGGCTTGCTCTCGTCACGGGCAACACGCTCTTTTATGCGAAGCTCTAGCTCAATCAGTGGCCAAACGGCGAGGGTTTAATTGACCTTTTCCGGTCAATTTTATCTGACCTTGACCACGTTGCCTCAAATTAGGAATTTCAGGGCATACTTCTGATGCGCCTCGGTGAAACTTTTCCAACGCCACCTTGCACGTGTCACTACGATGCTTAGCTTCGGAAATATAAATACATCGTTCCGCACGTATGCGTAGCACGAAGTGTAATATCAAAAGGTTTCCACGTGCGAAGCATGTGGACCGGTACCTCAGCACACCTATTCGTACAACGCCTTCAAGCGTTTGTCCATGTTGTGCCATTGTGCCGAGTTTTAGGTGCTTAGGTCAAAGTTTTCGGACGTCGGAGAATGCCTCATCAAAACATGTTTTTCGTCCCGAGCATGTGCAATATGTATCTCTCGGTGCCGATTATTCCATATGTCAGTGGTTTGGTACCGGGACATGTGACCTACAAATTTGGCAACTGGACCTCCCTCGGATTGGCTTAAAACGTCGATAAAAGGTTTTTGTTCTCAATGTGTTTGTCGGCAAGTCATACGCGCCACGTGACAGAGAGTGACCCGGGACCTATACCATCACCTGCCTCCAGAAATGGCACGTCAAACGGCACCACCATCACCTCGATCCGATCATCCATGTAAAAATAATTACAAATTTATTTGCTTTACAACGTTTCACAGCAGAGATTTTTGACGACGCTTTGTCGGCGCCACTATCTTCCATGGGAGGTCCCTTCGAATTGCCAGTCCAGTTTATTTATACGTCTATGAATTTGTACCAAATTTTATAGTAGTATCGTAAAACATTTATTTTCTTTTTATATCATCTGTTCCAAATTGAAAACAAGTCCATGGTGCCTTACTTTACATTTCCAACAATTATTTTCACAAAATCAGATGCTTGGCAATGGGTTGCCCTCCCTTCAAATTTAGTTTCAACTAGGCCTGTCTAGTGGGATACTAGAAAAAATATTCCAAGCACCAGTGACGTCACAATTTGTCCAACCTTATGTTCTAGTAATCTTGGTCGCACCTCTTACTGGGCCAATCGCGTCAGAAGGCAACAAGATGTTTCTCCAGCCCTCATCATCTCAGACAGGGAACGGGTCACATCATTGCTTTGTCCTCCGGCACATGACATTATTTGAGCACTGGTAAATAGCTTGAGGAATAAAACGGTCGCTCTACACAGAAAATTAGTTTGACAAGTGAATTACAATTCATAGCGCGAGGCAAAATAACGATGCAATTTGCCCATAAAATTCGGGAAAATGTTTTAAGCATGTCTAATTAATGCTCAAATTAAACAACAGGATGGGTCGAATAATTATCTTTCACTCACTACATTGTCCTTTTTCATTGCTTCACAGCAGTTCTCCTCCTGCTGCTGGCCACCGCAGGAGGCGGCCAGGGCTCACCGGAGGAGGCTAACACGTCCACGGCACCAGGCGCTGCCGGAGACGGCGGCTCGCTCCCTGAGATCGAGGCCTCTGAAAAGCTCGGGTACCTGCCTGTGCCGTCCGCGGACCATGATGCGGTACCTGCCGGTGTTGAGAGAAAAGAGAAGGGAGCAGAGTCTGCATCAGGCGGTAACCAGCATCGGAGAAAGATAATGAGAAAACGGATGCGTGTCGTTGGCCATGTCTCGGCAGCAGAAAAAGAAGATAACGATGAAGTTCAAACTGTCGAGACCCTGACACCAGATAATACGAAAGCCAACACTAAGGCCAGGCAGAGAGCAGTAACAGCAAGTGCTTCAGACGGTAAAAAGATTAAATCATCTCTCCAAGGCCCTGTCAGGAGGCGAGTGATCAAGAGAACTAAGAACGCGCCAAGCTCGTCTTCCCAGTCCAAACGCCCAGCCGGCGCCTCATCAAGAAGCCGACAGATCATTAGAAGGCGGGGACCTAGTCTCAGTTCCAAAGACAAATCTTCAGCTATCACTTCAACCACGGCACCTAATGGCTCCTCCCCCAACAGTTCCAAAACGCCAATCAAAAGACGTAGGATAGTAGGCGGAAGGAAAGATCACTCGGCAGCTGCTCACCCAACTTCATCCCCTTCACAAAAGCGGCGAGGTAGGCGTCCGCTGGGAAGTGTTTCAGCATTGGTGGCCTCCTCACCGGAAGTGCCCTCTGTGCAGCCGCTGCTCGTACGGCCTCGCGTTGCACGTGCTGATGGATCCACTGGCGCATCGTCAGTTATCCCCCTTAAGCGAAAAGTAATTCGTCGACGAGGGCGTGTCTTGAGCGATGCCGATTCTCGGACTGGCAGTTCCGGTAGCAAGCAGAACAATGGTGCAGCCGCAGCTTCCCCAACAGTTATCCGAAGACGCGTTCGTGTTAGAAACCCGGACAAATCGTCCACACCTGGTATTTCTAGGAAAGTTGTGACCAGCTCGTCAACAGGGGGCCCTCCTTCCCCCAGAACGAACGGTAAAGCGAGAGGAAAGGCTTGCAGACGACCGACAGAAGAGGCAACAACACTAGTGGATTTCAGCTCGGATGGTGCTTCACCTGTCAGGCCCCTGGACGTTAGACCCCGTATAGCTCGCGCTCGCGGTGCAAGCGGTGGTCCCGGAGGAATTAATACTATCGGCTCTTCGTCCGACAAGTCTCCATTCCGGCAGGTCACTCGAAGAAGGGTTATCAAGCGTCGCGGAGGCCAGAAGGCTGTCAAGGTCGTTACGCCAATTACCTCCCGCCAAATCACCTCTGCAACTGTCGCCCCCGATCCAGCAGAGACTTCCACTGAGTTCCAACAGCCTACCACCACGACACCATTCGAGGTATCATCTACTACAGATGCGCCCCTGCCGTCAGCTAGCGCTACGCCATCACCATCGCCAGATACCAAGCCTGCGTCACTGCAGACCGCTGCCACCTCGGAGAGTCCCGCAGTTACCGCAGAGGCTCAGCCAGAAGATAGCATCACTTCTTGGCCAGCTGTTGCAGTAGCCACACCCCAGCCAGCTACCAAGGAAAGGAATCGCAACGGCCGAGGACGAAGACCAGCAAAGCTTTCTCGTAAAGTAATCCGAAAAAGGCTGCCATCTGTAATTGCAGATAAGGCCGTTACCATTCCGTCCATAACAAAGGTTTCTCCCGATGCGTTTGCTGTGTCCAGAAAGGAGCCAAAAGTTGTGGCCACTACGCAAAAGCCTTTTGGAGTCGCTGAGCGCACAACAGACGATAATCTTCCTCGCGACGATTTGCAAAGAACGGTTGAGGCGCCTGCAGCATTCCCCAGGAAGCCAAAGCCAGGTAGCGAGCCAGATACAGTCTCACAGCAGCCAAGTGCTGAAGTTCCAAGTGCAGCAGTACAAGATATCCTCGCTCCAGGCTTCTCTCGCATCCAAGCTATTCAGCCAAGTCCGGAGCAAATTCGAGGGCGACGATATCAAGCCATCAGCCGCCAATCCTCTCCTTCACCCACCACTTCGACGCCCTCTCCTGTCACTCCCAGTCGCGACGCGTTCCGCCCTGAGCTACGCACGAGGAAAACTGCCACGAAATCATACATCCCCCGTCCTCCACCGTCGCAGGTCGACAAATCGAACCGGCAGTCTTCGGGGCAGCACCTACAGCCAGCGACCAACAGCTTCCAGCAGCCCCTGGAAGGCGGTGCTGGCTCGGACACCGTCGGCGACCTCCAGAGCACCCTCCCGGCAGGAGGAGGGACCGTCGTGGGCGACCGGTCCGTCACCCAGTTCAGGTCAGTGCCCGAATTAATTTAAAAACATTTATGCACACAGATATTGCACTACTCACTGCGTGTTCGCTACATTTTTTAAGCGGCATTGGCTTGGTGATCACATTCCAAGAAGTTAGCATCCAATTAGCATCTCAAGTCCCACCAATAAGCGGAACTACCCGAGGGCGGGGAACGTGCCAGACTGACGACGCCTACTATACCGGGTGGCCCAGAAAAAACGTTCCCAACTTTAAATCAGTATTTCTCAGAAAGTGATAAAGATACAGCATTGAAACTTCGAATAGTCAATGCGGCACACATTTTCAGTAAATGGTGTGAATTTCATGGTGTTCGGTAAATTACTTTTTAAACGGTTCGTGTTTCAAGCATGCCATGTAAAAAATACTTTTTTGCTCCGATGTTTACTAAAAAAAATGTGAGTGAACGGGTCACTTTCACCCCGCGGCACCGCGGCCTAGAGCCATGACTTCTACTGGCAGCTAGTCTCATGGATGGTTCGGGTCTCAGGATGACACATTCCCTCAGGCAACCACGATGGCTCTGTGCCAGCGGCATCGGAAGAAGTTTCCAGTTTTCAACCATCTTATGGCTCAAATGCTTTCCTGGCTGACATTCCTCAGAAAAAGTAGTTTTTCAACCAGTTTTTTTTTTTGTCATCTGCTGGCAATGTTGCTTTTCATAAGCTATTCTGTGGTCTTCTGGCACAGGAACCAGTCTGCTTTAGTTTGTTTTGCTTATCCGGTCGATTTACTGTTTGATCTACTGAAAGGAGGGTAATCAGCAGTAATCCATGCACCGTGCCACTCCTGCTCGAAACATGATTTGGTGTTCAATGGCATCCATGAACACCATTTTGGCTCAGTATTTAAATATTTGGCACATGAGTGAGACAAAAATATTTAAAATAAGAACATACGTGTTGGTTTCATTCACGTGCTCTATTTTTTATTCTTTTTTATACCATGGGACGTCTAACCCAATCATCACTATCGTTTGACATCGGCAAAAAAAAAGCAAAAACGTCTTGCTTAATTCAACTCAAGATTGCCAGCTTGAAAATGATGGTATAGTGTTATAAGTTGGCATACCAATGCGCAAAGAAATGACGCAAACTTGATGAAAATTTTGGTTCGATATTTGTACTCGAATTTGATATATAGGCCTCCAAAGTTCGGAACGTTTTTTCTGGGCCACCCGGTATAATCGTCCGCTATAGGTCGATCTAGTTATGTCACCGGTACGTCCGCCGGTGATCAAATAACACTCGGGGGGGGGGGGGGCTGCGTGTCAACCGACGACACCCGCTCGCCACACTTCTTGGAATCGGCTTGTGGCATTGGCTCGGCAGGTTCATCGTAGGACACCACTTCAAACATAGCATCCGCTAGGGTAAATTTAGGTGTAGCGCAGTCCCAAACGGACCAGCGATAAACCATTTTGTTCTCTATATGTGTATTGACATTTATTGATGTTTTATCTTAGGTGTATGAAATATTCAAAGATAAATGCCATAGAGATGTGCAATAGTTTGCCAGGTTATTTTAAAATAGGCATGAATTCTCAAGAGGAAATACGAGGAACGATTGTTGGCTCCCTGAGCTAGTAGCATAGCAGCCTGCAAAGTTTCACTGAATTGATTGATGGCTATTCAGACCTCACTTCACAAGTACAGCACAGCTCTTGCGGTTGAATACACGGCAACTACGGGTATTACGTCAGCTAATGCTCTACGCACCCTTTTGGTCAGTTTCTCTGACATGATCTCGTGTTTGCGGTGTTGCAGCTGTGACGGCCGGCCGTACGGCTACTACGCCGACATGGAGACTGGCTGTCAGGTGTTCCACATCTGCACCCCGGTTCTGCAGACCAACGGAGCCCAGCAGATGCTCAAACACAGGTGAGCGGCACCCATAAATACACTGAGGTCGATACTCGGGTACTGGTGAACAGCACTCTAACAATGGTGGGAAACACTTACGTGACTGGAGATTCATGCTCAGAGCGAGAAGCACTCAAATGCATGAGGCTGATGCTCAAACACAGGATGTCCGTTGACAAGGATCAGAGATGATCGATGCACTCAAAAGGTGAGACAAAGAAAAAAAGGTGGGCTCCATCAAACGCAAGTGGGAGGATGGCCTAAACAAACCGAGCCCCCCCCCCCAAACACTCCTGTCTAAACCGTTATAACACAGTTGTAGCACAGTTGAGCGACCTTCAAACACGGGAGAACCGTGGATAGGCGTGGAGTTGAGAACATAAGCGGCTTTGGTCCTTGACTAAAAATAGCTGCCGTGTCTTCCTATCGGCTCTTGTACGATTCTTATTCGTATATTAATGAGTTGTGAAGTGTATTTGTCTCTAGCCCTAGTGTTATGCGTTTGAACCTGGCACAACAAATGATTCACAAAAACATTGATGGCATAGTGCATATAATTCTGTCATGGTGTAGCAAATAGAGTTACCAGATTGCCATTAAACCCCGTTCCGATGTTAAACCCTGGTGGCTATTCGACGTTCGTTCACGGCAGGCGGTCATACCATCGAGCACCGCCCGAGTCGGCCACGCTCAGTCTAATCGGCTTGTCTTTCCCTACCAACAGCTTTTTCTGCAACAACGGCACGGTGTTCGACCAGCGAACTCTGAGCTGCCGCGTGACGCCGGCCGCCATGCCCTGCGACCAGTCGGAGCAGCACTACGCCTCTGTGGACTTCTTCACGAGCTACAACTACTTCGACCGGCTGCGACAGGACCAGGAGCAGCGTGACCGGCAGACTGGGCAGCAGCAGCGGCTAGACACACTGCAGGACCTGGAGCGTCTGGAGGCGCAGCTGGCTTGAAACGAACCGCTGTGCATTTGACCTGACTTTGTCTATTGGAAGGAGGCGTTGGCGCGCTGTTGTATCGTCCGTAGACGACTGCTGACAGACTGGAATGATCGTGAATAGTGAATAAGCGATACTTTGACAACTTCCTCACGTCATGTACCTAAGTGTTGAGCTTATGCTGTCCTGTCCATTCAAACGACGCACTTAAAGAATAGAAAACTTGCTAAGTGTTTTATCAAGAAAAGCACTTGAGTCTAGCCATCCTGCTTCGCAAGAAAGTATTTAGAATATCGCTTTGAATACGTTAGCTTGCTGCGTTCAATATGTCAAGTACACGTCCGCATTTATCCTTGGCTCCACGATGTCATTTCCTGAGAAAATATGTGAGGTGTAGCGCTGATTGCGGTATCAATGTCGCATTCAGCATGTCGAGAATGCACAGCAACCATGTTCCGTGACTGTATCGCAGACGTGGAACCCGGGCGACGGCAGTGGTCCGATCGTAGCACATCGATACAAGATGAGCCGGACAATTCCACGTTCACACACGTTTTCACCCGGTCCATTGGCTGGTGGTGACAAGTGACAGACGTTCGAAGTGAAAAAGAAAACTAAAGCGAAGGCACATCAAGCATCTTTTGTGTGGGCTGGAACGTTCGTATAGTCTGCCTAGTCGATCTAACCCCACAAACGACGACTTGTTCTGTGTGCACCAACCTTCCAATTTTTAACCCTCGTCCCGCTGGGGGGGGGGGGGGGGGCAATTTGCCCCCCCCCCTGTGGTTTTTCCTGAATAGCAAGAAAACGGTGGCGGGCAGCGCCGCCAAATTTTCAGTACCTTCCCAGGCATTAATTTGACACTTTCACACAAAATTTTCAAAATTTTAAGTCTTAGCTCACCTAACGTCAGGAGTTATTGAGGTCAGACTGAGGTCATAGGGTAAGGTGCCTAATTAGCGACCCTTTCCGATTTGCGACCTACCTCCCTACAGAAAAACTGGCAGGAGAAAACGGGGTAAAAACATCGTCAAAAGGTCTGCCATACTTTGGTTATCAAATTAAATTATTTTCCGGTCGTCGATGTTTCTAGTGGGACGTTTCAGGCGAGTTTAAATAAAAATGACGAGTTTCTTATCCAAAATTTCTGTGTTTGGGCCCTCTCTGACGAAAAGTGATGCACATTAGGATGATGCACCTTTTTTATTCTGAATCGACATTCCTTTTTTAACCCGCGCCGTGCTGGGGGGGGGCGTTTTTACGCCCCCCCCCCTCAGGTTTTTCGCGAATATCTCAAAAACGGCGGCGCGCAGCGCCGCCGTTTTTGGTACACGTGTTCCTACATCATTTCCGCACATGTTGTGAAAATTTCAGACCTAGGCCGTTCAAGGTCAGGTCACCAGGTCACGTCAAGTGACCGTACCTCAGAAAAAGTTCAAAGGCTCGCTATAGCTACACCGACTGAACGATCACTTTGAAACTTTCAGCGATTGATATGAGTAACAGTATGTATAAAATGTATATCTCGGATTTTTGATATCTGTGACCTAAGGTCAGGTCAATTTTGCGACCTCTCCATTATAAGTCAATGGGAGAAAATTGAAATGCGCCTCTTTTGGACGAATATCGTTCAAAACGCTCTCAAACATCGGTTCATAGGTAAACATGACACACTGAATAGGAAAAATGCACCTGTGACCCCTCTGTGTGCCCCTGAGGTCATCTCAGGTCATGAACGGTCGCCAGCAGTTTTTTGGCTATAACTTTTGATAGAGACGTGCTAGAGCGGTGAAAACACGTCAGATGTGTTCAGCTCGACGATACGGATCGACTGATATGCAACATGACCCTTTTCGGTCAGGTCATGACCTTGACCTGAGGTCAAATTTTCAAAATGACCTTTCAAGGTCAACAAATAGTTCATTCGACGCGTCTCGACGAGAGGAACACGATGCTGGCAAAAGTAATGTCATGGCGCTTATGAGTCAAAAGTTATTGACGAAAAAACGTTTTTCGTAAAAACGGCTATTTTTGGAGTTTTTGCCCTCTGGAGGCTAAACCGTTGACCTGAGGTCAAATCTGAGAACATTACTCAGAAAGGTCTGTAAAAGGGCTATCGAATGCGCTTTTCCGCGGCGCTGTAGCTCTATCGGTTCCCGAGATAGCCGTTGGCAGTTTCCAAAATGTTGAAATAGTCAACATTTTACCTTTGGTGACCTCTGGTGACCTGACCTTTGACCTGACCCAAAAAATGACCGAAGTGTTTTCGTCCTTATTTTTGACGCTCTTTCGATTGCCGCTTACCGCGTGTCGCTACGTGGCCCAGGAGCCGAGTTAGACGGGGGGGCGTGAAAACGCCCCCCCCCCCCCCAGCACTCGGCGGAAAGTTCAGGCCACCAGCACGGCGCGGGTTAATTGATTGCCGTTTTCCCATAGTGAATCGCTCAACTGTGCACAGCATGGCGGTTAAAAATGTGTCGCAACTCATATTTCCTATTTGCGCCTGACATGGTCGCAAATAGCTCAAGAAGGGAAAGAAAGGGGAAAAGAGAGAAATGAAAATGAGGTGTTGCTGAGGCTTGCAATGTGTGGCAGGGGATGCCAAATGTCGTCACCGACTGCAGGGGTGCCGAATTCAGCGCGGACCTCGAATATCATACAAGATAGCCCGCAAAATTTGGGTTTCCGCCTTCTTTTCGCCTTCGGTGCATCACGTGATCAGTTTTTACTTACGTAAATGTGTTGGATAAACGTTCCTGTTCGAGTGATTGAGTGCTTTGCGTATAGGTTACCTTTTTTGAGATCATATTTCATTTTTTCAGGCGTCGCATTTTTTGCCATATTTAATATGGGGAAACCTATAGACTTATTAGCGACCCTCCCCGGTCGCTAATCGGGAAGAGTTCCCTATTAGCGTTTTTTGCAATGGTTTGCCAAAATGCTCACTACAAATAAGTTAGTGAATATTGGGGCAGAAAATGACTATATTTTAATAGAAGAATGAACGATCTCTCCGAAAATCAAGCCAGAAACACAGTGGCACCTACAGAGCGTGAGCAATGACGGTTCAAATTAAAGGGGTCGCTAATTAGGCACCTTACCCTATTCCAGCAAAAAATGAGTAAAAAACATGAAATCTTGAAAAGCTCACAAAAGCTACAGTTACCAAGCAATTTCAAAGTTCTTTAGATGGTCATGTAGACAAAAGGCGGCGCTACAAAACTTACATCTCGGATTTTCACAATTCTGGGATTTTGACCCCCGAAAATTCATTTTTTTTAGAAAAACGCAAAAAATCCACCAAAAAATTTCAAATTTCGAAAAACCGGAATAAATTGATAGTCCCTGCGCTCTTCTATATGCATACCAAATTTTAGATCGATGCCTCCTTTTTTGGCTAAGTTATAGCGAAAAAACTGTTGAATATTGATGACGTCAATTTTTTAAACTCATTTTTTTGCAATTCTAGACCACGTAGGGCAAAGCAAAGACCACCATTGAACTCCCCGTGACGAGCTGCATCGAATCGAACCCATTTTATGCAAAAATATCAAATTTGAAATTTGACCTAATTTGACCTGTCCTTGACCTGCCCTTGACCTGACCTTGACCTGACCTTGACCTGACCTTCAGCCGAACATAATCAAAACTGACCCCAAAGGCTGCCTGACCCACATAATCGCATTTGGCATATAAAATGGACCATAAAACATGCATCACATGATATTTTCATATTGTGACCCTCAGTGACCTGACCTGTGTGACCTAACCTGGTATCAACGACCTCAAATAGCAAAATATGTGTTTGACGAACATTTCCCCGTCGAATATTTTTCAATGAAATGCATTTTACTCGATTTTACAACGCATTTCTTGAAATGCCTGTAAACGGTGAAAATTCGACACTTGACCTGACCTGTGACGTCATCCGTTTGTCCTAGGTCAATGAAATTTGGTCACAAGGTAGTTCCCTGTTGGGGCTATCCAACACCGTTTGCCGTTTTTCGCTATGTTGCGTGGTTCTCGAGATCTTAGGGGGGGGGGGGGGGCAAATTGGCCCCCCAGCGGGGCGCGTTGCTTGGCAGACCCCAACGGGGCGCGGGTTAAAAGAATCGGTTAAAATATAGGATTTATTCAAATCTATTTGACGTCAAGACACATCAAATGTTATTTTTTCTTCTTTTTTTGAAGTACTGGTTCTAGTACTGGACAAATAATGCACCATTCGATTCGTCGTGAAAAACTGCATCAGACCTTTTTTCGGATTAGACCTTTTAGGTCTAAACAATCAACTTCAAAATTTGAACTCTCTTAACCTGACCTTGACCTGACCTTGACCTGACCTCGACCTAAAATTCATCTAAATTTGGTCAATATCGCTGAGTGTGTTCCATTGAGCTCTGTGAATAAAATAACCTACAAAACATGTGCCGCACATGCCCTTTTCTATAATTCGTTTTTGGTGACCTGACCTTGACCTTGACATTTGAACAACATTTTATGCGGCGTATCTTGCCTTGGTAGCCTAAAAACACTTTTTATAATTTTAGTTCGAACCTTTTGATTGGAAGGATTCACATGGACAGAGCCCCGCTAAGCGAAGCTTGTTGCGTTGACCCTACCCTCTACCCTCCGATCGCGCAATTCCTGTTCTATGACAGAATTTAGAGTCCAAAGTTTAACGTGCGCACATAGCCGCGCACGGCCGGTCCGCTCACTGACTTCGCCTGTATATGGCCTGCCACCAACCGCAACCATACCTGTCAGGAGGCCCATAAACGTCAAGCGCCCGTCGCGCTTCGAACCCGGACTGTTATAACCGAGAACGCGTGCTCTCACCACGCGGAGTCCAACGCTCTACCGTCTGAGCTACGGGATGCTTCGGATTATCATTCTTAGTTCATTCTTCGCCCAGTACACTTCGAAGCCGATAATATAGAAACTTGCATTTTGTACCTTGGACCTGCCCTTGACCTGACCTCTGACCAACTAAGGCAAAAATGGCTCCAAATGAAATTACAATTACACCGTCTGCTCTAACAGCTTAACCCTCGCCGGACCTATTGGTTTTCTACACACGCGCCGGCCGAGGGGGGGGGGCGGGGTACGACCCCCCTCGCCGTTTCGCCCCTGGTGGAGCTAGCGCGTCGCGGAAAAAACGAGCATGTGCGCCATTACGAGACGCAGAGATTGATACCCGATTTTAACCCGCGCACCGACGGGGGGGGCGGATATCCGCCCCCTCTGAGGTTTTTTTCGCGAATAGCGGGAAAACCGCGGCGCTAGCGCCGCGAAATTTGGTACGGCTATTCTCTTATCAATTTTACACATGGTGTGCAGGTTTGAATCTCCTAACTTTTAAGGTCAGGTCACCAGGTCACTTTGAATGACCCAGCCTCAAGTCACTTTTTTGCAACTTTGTCACCGTGCCAGAGCTACAGTAGATGTCGGAGGCC